TAGAACTTAGAACGCTTAGCACGAGTTCAAAAAAAAAAAAAAAAAGAAAAAAGAAAAACGTCAAAAAATTCCGTACCCATGATTCGTTGGATCGTTTAACAGACACCATGAGAATACTCGGGGGTAATACGTCTTTTACGTCCATTCAGGGTACCTGCTTTGGCTTCATAAACGACTAGATATAAAGCCGTAATTTCGATATCCCTTCCAAAGCAATCTCTGTGCCGATAAACGAGACAACAATCGGTGCTGGGGCCCCGAGTTTTCTAGGATAAAAATTTCCGCACACCGTCGAATTTACCTAGAACTTACATTATACTTTTATGATATCTCGACAATCTTCGGTTTCCTATTCATTTCTTTTTTTTTTCTTTCTTTTTTGGACGTCGGTTAGAAAAAATCGACCTTGTGTCCCTGACGCAAGAAACGTTACAATGAACCTTTTAGTTTGATTGTTAAAAATTGAACTGTACAATAGTATATGCGATAGATAATATACACGTACGTATATGTATATATACATACATATATAGGCATATGTACGTATTATACATATACATATGTCTCTGGAGATGTTAAATATAGCTTCTAAGAATTAGAATTTTTTGTTCGATGTAGATATCTCTTTTACATGTGTAGCTCATTTATCAAAATCATTGCAACTTCATAGAGTATTAAACTGGAAAGGAATCTAATAATATTTCTAATACTCTTTTTTTTCTTCGCTTCTATTACAACTGATAGGGCTATTCCAATTAATTTGGAATTATTATATACCTGTACGTTTACATTTGTTCCATCGTAAAAGTGCGTGTCGCACGAAAGTCATTGCTAACTTAATATTACGCATACTTTGAGTTGCACGATTTGGGCAGGGCAAACTAGGGCAAAAGTACAGTCCCGAAGTATTGAGATACAAAGCGATCGTTAGATTTCAGTGAATCGGCACGAAATTCACGATTTTCGTATCTGCGGTATACATATACAGTAACATTACCTATAACTTATTTAGTAGTTTTAATCACTGTATCTCCTACAATGCTCATTAAAACAACTAGAATAGATATCTTTCTAATATTCATTTTATTTGGCAAATATCGTTTCTTCCAGTTAAATAAATAATGTCATATAAGAAACCATTACTTATATACGGTGTGCCAGTGCTCAAGCAATACAATTAATTACCGTGTAAAATAATGGAGATAATTGACTGTATCGCTGAAGCGTGTACACACTGTATGTTATACTGTATACCTATTGTGCTGGTAGCATTGTTTCCATTGTACGGTATACCTGCTTTGATAATTATATGTTGCTATGTTTTTAAAACAATACCAGAACCTTTATTCTGCCCTTACCTGCCCTATCCACGTGATTGTGCCTTACTTTCTGATAACACATTTAACTGATTCCATTTTTTGGAACATTCATATATGATTTTCATTCTTCTTTGGATATCAAATTCAAAATCGTTACATTATACATTTACAGTAGCTAATCTGTTTAAATGTTTATCAATAGCAGATTTATCACAGTGGTACATTATTGTATTCCTCAAGTTGTATATTCCATCTGAAAAAGATTTTTGTGAGAAAAGTGCAGATTTCAAATAAGAGAAATAAAGAAATACTCGTAGATAATTGAACCTGAGTTAATCTTCCCACTCATCCTCATCACTGGTTTCACTAGTCGAATCATCACTTTCACTATGGATTGCACTTGATCGCTCAGCAAGAGCTCTTGACAAAGCACTAGCTAGTCCTCCTTGGTACATCGGAGTGGATTTAGACTTTACTTCAATTGCAACAGGCCTCAACTCAATTCCCTGACGAATTTGTTCCAATAATGCATTTCTGGAGTCCGAGGGTGGCGAAGGTTGTTTTGATTCGGTTTTTTCAACTTTCTGCAAGACAAATTTACGTTAAAGTATAACAATAGAGTTTTAAAAACGTTTCAACTTATCAAATTACTATGTATCGAAATACTAACTCGAAGGGTAGTGCCACTTCTAATTGATTCCATGAGCATTGACCTGAGGTCAGCGTTTTCTTCATTATTATTATTACTACTAGTATTGTTATTATTATTATTATTATTTGTAGCACTTGTATTAATAGTTTCTTCCTCAGTGATCACTAAATTAGGCAGTGGTGGTGGAGGGGGAACAGGCGCACTCGAATTAGTTCTGGATGGTGGAACTGGAGCTGGTGGAGGTGGTGGTGGAGGTGGTGGCAATGCTGGTGCCGCCGTAATAGTAGGAGGTGGTGGTCGTACTGGTATTCTATGCACTGGCGGCGCACTGGATGGTGCACTCGGCGGCGTTGAAGGTGCATGTATTCGACTTGGAGGTAGTGACGGAGCGCTTTTCGTCTGATGCTGGAAAGTTATTAAATATTTAAAAAATTTGTTTTCCCTGGACAATGATAAAATCACCAATTGTATACGAACAGGTACTAGTCGTGCAGGAACTGGCGGCGGGAATTCCTGTCTTTGAGGGGCTACCGGAGGAGGCGGTTGTTGCTGCTGTTGTTGTTGTTGCTGTTGTTGTAAGTGCTGCTGTACATTAGGTGTTGAAATATCTGCTCGAATGGCACTCATGCCTCCATTCTTTTCAATAAATTCATAAATAAAATCACGTGTAGACTGATTTCTAAATTGATCATCCGACACGCCTACTTTATCAAGGAACATTTTTAAGTGTGGATCGACTTGATCGCTCTTGTTATTAGCATTGAGTTGCAGGTGTGTTACATGTCTGCAAATATAAAAAAATGTCAGAACATTTGTCGACAACAAAACATAAAGCTGTATCATTTAACTATTCTGTTCAACTCCAAACCTAAAATTGGATGGTGGACCTATATCGTCTTTCGTTAATCTTCGCTTAGCTTTATCTCGTTTTTTCTTCTTAGGCTTGTACATGGAACTAGTTGATGTACTTCTATTTACACCAATCGTGGTTGGAGTTCCATTCGCTAAATTGGAGGTCGAACCAGTGGTAAATGCAACAGGCGATGTACTGCTTTGATTTCTCCATGGTAATGTCCCACCATGCTGAACTTCTATTTCCATTTTAGACCGTCTTTGCTGTTTCTTGTGACGTTTAGCATTCAATTTATCAAGAAGAATATTTCTGAAAGCAAATAATGATTACCTTCTTTTCTTATCTACACGATTTTCAAAACCAAGCAGTAATTCTTATTGTGAAATTTTATTCATCTTACCTTAATGTTAAAGCATCCGTTTCACTAGCAAAATTAAAAGCAGCCATATAATCTTCAGCTTCAAATGTATGGAAATAAATCAATGGTGCTTTATAGTCCATTGCATTGTACACTTCATGTTCCCATATCATTGCTCTCCTTTGCAGACAATATAAACGGAGAAAGAAACTACGTCTAGGATTATCTCTTATCAGCGTTATAATACCTGTAGTTTTCTTTATCCATTCTTTATGTAAAGGTGGTTCAGTCAAATATAATTGAATAACTCCTGCTGCTAAACACTACAAAAAATGATAAAAGTCAGAAATTTTCTTCATTAAAAAATCTTCTTAATACTTTATTTGCAGGTATTTATCATGCAGATAAAACATTAATCTCATTGACAATGATAAAATAATATATGCATCACAAAATTTTATTCAAGAAGACAATCCAATCAGTTAATGGTAAATTCCTACATAACTATGAATCTTCTGATGTCATACAATTCGCTTATGACTAATAAACCATTTTAAAAACATGATGGCATCAGAAAATAATACGCATGCGATACTATGTACAAAATATGAATGTAAATTATAAACTTCAATGATACGAGACTTGTAATTATAAAATATGACAATATTTCCCCTTAAATGGGTAAATATTTGTTCAAAGTTATTCAATCAAATGAACGTGTCAGATAATTCTGTACATACTGTTTCTACAGTCATACATCATTGATCACACGAATAAAGTTCTGACCATTTATGACTGCAAATATATATCCCTACATAAGATGACTAATTCCATAGTTCTAGTTTCAATCTATCCCTTTTTAGAGCATTAAATATGTTGTTGGAGAAAAGTCCCCTGGTATCATGTTTCCAATAAAATTTTTATGGAAATATTGACTAAATCGTAACAAGCGCGTATTGAAGCTTTCCCGTATTGTTAATAATGCCAGAAGTTCTCGTTAAAATAATTCAAAATTTAAATGACAGTACGTGTTCATCCGTGCTCGTCGATCAACAAAATTTAGGTCAAAATCGGTAGGTTTCAGTGACAGTTTCAGTAATCAGAATTTTTCGGAGACATGTCTCACCTGGCACCGATTTCCTATTAATTGCAAGACTTGCTCGTTTTCTTCCGGTTTCAAAAGTGTCGAGCCTCTGTGTTTGTCCATGGTGCCCGACTTCATTTTTAAACAAGGTTAGGATCTTTGCGCTATCACGCCGTAATATTCCTCGCTGCACGCTCTCTCGATCAATAGATTCGCTTTCATAATTTAACATGAACACGGTTCATTTTTCCACATTTTTACGTCGTCGAGTGCACACGTCGACCATGAAATTCGCTAGATAAAACGGGCCAAACACCACCCACCGAAAGCTATCTTCGATACTATCCGCACAGGAAACTCTACCAGTCGGTGATGACATTTTCATCTATCCGGTTCAATGTTCCGCGTTTCCTCATTCGATATAAAGTACAGTACGTACAATCTTCTCACTCTTAAATCAGATTGGAGCTCGCGGAACCATTAAGTATCATAAATAGACGATAGATGCTTTTTCAGAAAACAATTTTAAAAAATTGTTCGAAAGTAATTGTAGGTAAAGGAAGATTTTCTTAATCTGTCAGGAAGATTGTTAAATTTGAAATGGTTCGAGGATTTCTCCAATCCCGATTTCAAGTCTGAATTACAAGTTATTTCATTTACAAGAAATATTTTAAACATTGTTGTTTATATTTCGAAAATAATTTCAGCATGTACAGAAAAAAAGGGAAATGATTCCAATGCAATTTTGTTATTCGAAGTAAGGCACTGTCTAAAATAATATGTTTGAACATTATTTTTACGCAAGTACACGAGTGCGAACACGTGTAAATTCTTAAACAAAAGAGAGTTCATTTTACCGATGTAAAAAATAAAATATTTTTATTAAACGGTTAACGTTGGAATAAGAAATCTATCGTGAAAAAAAAGGATACACTCTCAGCTGAAAGCAGTTTTATTATTTATATATACTTTTTTTAAATGACTCTAAAGCCCTGTTCGAAGACAGACCATGTTGAAAAACGCTTCCAATTTTTTCTTACAGCGTGAAAGGTTTTTAACGAGATTAAATTGGAGGTGTGAAATATATCAATTTGTTTGACATGATAAGGACGCTCGCATGTACATTTAAATTTTTCCCGCATTTCGTAGTCCTTGGTTGTCGCTGTCGCTATAATCACACACTGCAAATGGCCACGGGTGCAACTCACGTAGTCTCGGAGATGCGATATCCAGCGGAATCTTGTTTTACATGGAAAACAGAATCGTCAACGATGATAGGGCAACAGTGATTGCTGTTACGGTTGTACTCTTACGACAGTAAGGTCACTCGCGATTTTCTGAAGGTCGCGCAATTGAGTTTTCCGCGGGAAAACAATGTCTGGATACCGAAGGGTGAACTACTACGAACTGTGCAGATTGTGTACGAGCAGCGAGGGTAACAAAATGAACATTTTTCGGGAGGAAGGTCGTAGACGGCAACTTCAGTCAAAGATCCAAACGTGTTTACCTATACAGGTGAGAATTTCTGACAAGATGATTCTTCGTATTCGGAACTGTAAGAAGAGATACTGCTTTCGGTGAACGTTTACAATGTCATAAACTAATTCGTTGAGACTCTTTTCATTATTTAAGCGATTACCCTGTTGTATGGGTAAAGAGAAAATTGTCTCAATATTTTTAGGTTTTGGAAGAGGACTCTTTGCCAAAAATTGTTTGTCACGAGTGTATTAAGAAGTTGGAGACTTTCATTGAGTTCAGAGAAACTGTTGTAAGTGCGGAGAGTATGTTGGAATCGTACTTCACTTCGTTAAGATTTTCTGAAGACTTTCTAAAAGAAGGTAAGGTATACGTGAAGAGTACAGAGAAGGATAGACCGACCACACCAGAGAATGAAATATTAAAGTCAATAGAAAAAGTATCACCTACCGCGGGAACTCAGATAGTTAATAACGATCCGCAAATACAGCATCAACAGCCTGTTGTTGTTAGTAACATAAATGCCTCTAATATTCAAATTATCAGTGGTGTTCAAGCAAGAGTGCAACAGTATAAATGTGCCATGCAGGTTTGTAAAATAAAGATTAATTAACTTTATAAAGTAAATCAGAATTTATAGTGCACCTAAGGATAATTACGAATTTTAGATGCAACCAGGAGGCATGGCAGCTGCTGTTGTTGAAGCAACAGCAGAGACACATTATAGTTATCAGCAACAAACTTCACAGCAATTATCACCTCAATCAAATGAAGCACAAAATCAAATCACTGAACAACATAGTCCAACTTCACAAATTCAGCAGCAAGTCCAAAGTCAAATACAGAATCATGGTCAAATAAATCAACAAATACAACCCCAAAGGCAGATCTCTCAACAGTTGAATCAATCAGCTCCTATTCCTCAGCAACAAAATCAAACACAGGTTGGTCAACAACAACAGCAGCAGCAGCAGCAGCAACAACAACAACAACAACAGCAGCAGCAGCAGCAACAACAACAGCAGTTACAACAGTTACAAAGACAAAGAGAGTATGAGAAACAGCACAGGCAACTCCAACAAATTGAGAAACAACAGCAAGTACAGATCAGTGCTCCTCAAGAATTTTCAATAAAGCAGGAACCTCAAGGGCAAGTTGTACATCAAAATAATAACATTATTCTAAAGTCAGAACCCGATGCTAAACAAAATCAACCAATTATTCAAAAAGTACAATCTGAGGCCCAAAAGGATGACAATGGCGCACAGAATGTGCAAACATTCACCACTGTGCATTCTGCGCCTGAAGTATTTTTAAATTTAGGATTCAAAGACACCCCTTTGGTTACACAAACTGTTCGGGAAGATACGAAAGACTTTAAGGCAGATGATGCAATATCTCGTACTTCAATTGGACAAATTTCAGAATTTCTAAGAATCAAATCAGGGCCTGAACCTACATCACTAATCACTGTGAATCCCCAAGTTATTACTCAACCTAGAGATACCGCTTGCAAAGATTGTGGCAAAACTTTGCCTTCCATGAGTCAAGTAAACAGTCACAATTGTTCTGGTTCATCATTCAATTCAAGGTCTAGTTTACTTCAAACCCTTTTAACTGATGCCACTGAAAGTGGAAATAAAGAGGAACCTTTACAAACTAATAATAATTCTTTTAGTTGTGATGTGTGTGGCAAGCCATTCAAACGGAGAGAGCATCTTTATCAACATCGAAAGTTGCACACTGGTGAACGTCCGTTTGTGTGTACCACATGTGCAAAGGCATTTAGTCGCAAAGAACATTTAGTTAGACACTCTGTATCTCATACAGGTGAAAAAATGCACGAGTGTGAAATGTGTGGCAAAAGCTTCTCTCGGAAGGATAATCTGCATAAACATCGTAAAACACATGGTGTATCTGGTCCATATATTTGTGAAACTTGTGGTAAATCGTTTGTGGTTAAGCATTATTATTTAATGCACTTAACAACTCATGCATCGACAACTGGAGATGGTGCAAACTGTCAGGATCCTTTACCATATAAGTGTGACCTTTGTCATAAGGCATTCTCTGTAAAACAATATCTTACAACTCACAAACTTAGGCATAGATCAAAAAATAATAATAATTCTGGTCAAAATTCTGTAAATGGCCAACAGCAACAACAAACTCAGCAAGCTAATGCTGCAAATAACGTAGATCTAGTAGGTAATAACGTTACTAATACTGGAACATTAAATGATAATAATGGACAGTCTGATAATGGATCAACGGTTGAAATTCAAAGTGTTATAGAAAAAAATGAAGAACCGAACGGTACTTTTGATCATTCTTACCATAGTAATATACAAGAGTTTCAATGAGATAAGGGGAAGCGTGTCTATTATGTTCTCTTGCCAAATGGTAACAACCACAAGATTGTCGTTGTGTAAGCAAGAGAAATTGTACGACGCGCCAACATATTTTCTTAATCAAACAAGGTTTTACTTGAAAATGAATTTTTTATACTTTAATAATCAATGAAATGAATTTGGATACTATTGTTTTCACAATTCGTGGTTTATTTGGTCATAAAGTAATATCTTCAATAGCTTGAAAGCTTGAGATAAAAGATATTGTATACATATTTTGCCAGTGAAGTATTACATGTACGAAACGCATGCTATGTTTTCTATAAATGCACACTACTATTTAACATTTAAAGTAAGTGTGTGCAGCAAAATTTAAATGTATGTAGATAGTCATAAGGTTGTTCCAATACCTGAGTACATTTGTGTTTCAAGCCCCAGTAGCTTTGAACATGAAATGATTAAACTAATATATAATTAGAATATTATATATAGAATATTATATACAATTCTTTTTTTTTTTAATTGATAGAATTAGAATAATATATTGAGAGCAACTAGAATTTGTAAATTTTAATTAAGTTTAATCACAATATTTGTTATATACTTTTATCAATATTAATAAAAGAAATTAACAATCAGATTTATTTATAGCAATCTATTAAAATTGGTGTATTAAATATTAGATTTTATTTTGCTTTTTTGCAAT